TACATGTTCATCTTCTTGTGACATCTCACTTAAGTCAACTACCACTTTTCTTAACTGTAATGTAATTAATTATTGACAGAAAGAAAGGAAAAACAGGGAGGGAGGGAGGGAAGGAGGGGGGAGGTGGTTTAGGATGGAGGGTAAAAACTATTATAAATGTAATACGTGAGACAGGTTTCTTTAAAATGGGTAGGATCAGAATGTCAAAAATATTATTTCTCCACACAGGCTTCTGGTTATGGAATAAGGAAGGCCCAGCATGAGCAATATAGTCAACGGTGTTGTAATAGTGTTGTAGGGCGAGAGAGGGCAGCTCACTAGTGGTGAGCATAGTACAACATACAGATTTGTCAAATCGCTATGTTGTACACCTGCAACTAACGTAAACTTGTGTGTCTACTATACTCCCATTAAAAAATAAAGATATTCTGGGACAATTGAAGAAAGTTGAATATGGATTTTGTATTATTTAATCTTTCCGATTCAGAGTGTGAGCCACTGACCAGCAGGAGTAGCAGCCCCTGGGGGCTTGTTAGAAACGCAGTTGCAGGCCCCACCCTAGGTGGTTTATATGCACACTAAGGGTTGAGATGCACTGTATTAGACCACAAAAAAAAAAAAAAAAAAATTGTTCCTCCAGCTATAGCTCCTTACTATCTAGGAGTCCACAAATCTCTTCTAGAACATACATCTCACTTCTCAGGATTTACTTCCAACTTGTTCCCATGCCCAGTCAGGTTCACCGGACAAATTCATCTTTCCCTTATAATCTCCGCTCTTCTCTGTGAACTCCTATCCTGGCCTAACCGTGGTGAGAACTTGCAACTCCTTCCTACCCTGAGTTACATCATAAAGCATCCTATGTTCATTGGATTATGAAGGTCACCATGCTCCTTCCTCTTCCTCTTCAGGAGTGAGCAACAAGAGGGTTTCTTTGGCAGGGCAAATGAATATTTCCTCATTTATTATTTCACTTACCACTGCCCCACCCCCACCCCCGCATCCATTTACTCACTCAGCAAACATTTGCTGAGTGGTGCTAAACGCAAGGTGCTTGCCAGGGGCTACATAATCTACTTAGTCGAGAGATACCAATCATTCTTTGAATCTTCCCTTCAAAGACTTGTCGTTTGTACCCTTCCTCTCAAAAACCCACACCAAGATAAGTTCTTATCTTATTTCCTTTGTAGGTCTCTAATTTTTTTGCAAGAATTTTTGATTAAAAAAAAAAACAAACCATACAGCAACTGTCAAGCAATAGGCAGTCACGGCAGTTCCAGACACATCTATCTAGTGCTGAATTTCCTTCTCAACCCAAAATTTTGCTAAAATGCCCTTCTATTGTCCACTTTCCTTAGAAACATTTTGCCTCACCCATCTGGCTGGGGTGCTTTTTTCTCAGGTTTCTGTTTTAGGTTTTGTCCCCCAGAAAAAGCCTTGACATGAGCTGTGAGCTCAGATAGTCTGTTTGAGGTGTTTTCCACGCAGTAGCCAGGAGTGTGGACCCTAAGAGGAGGCTGGGCTTTATTGTAAGCTGGTTTGGGAGCCAAGGGGAAACCATCACCTCATCCTGATACACACCAGAGGAGGGAAGGAAGTCTACTCCTGAATATTACCTTCTTCAACTTCAGTTATTTCTTAAATGGTAGTCTTTCAGATTTCTACTTCTTAAATCAGAGAAAACAAGAGGAGTCATTGTGGTATTTTCACTCTTATTAGCTCTGGTTTGCATAAGACAGTAACCCATGCTGTGCTTTGAAGCATGCCAGGCTACTTCTAGGGGCCCCGGGGCTTCTGAAAGGGTGAGGATGGCCTGGCACCAAATCAAGCTCTGCTTTCCCATTATCACGTTATTCCCATTCTGTCCATGTGCTGCTGAGGAGCATATACTATTATTTTAAAAGTGGAAACATATGGGTTCTTTTCAATTTTTACAGCTTTTCTGTGTCTATAAAAGTAAAGAATGTTTACTATAGGAAACCCAAAAAGGCAAAGAGAACAAAATAAAAATATTCTAATATCACTTAGAGATAATCACTTTGAACATTTGGTGTCTATCTTGACTATGTATATATAAAAATTATATACTTTTTTTAAACAAAGTTAACACATACATTTAATGTGTAACTTTGTTTAAATGCCTATTCGGTGTAAAATGTTTCACTTAAGCATTGATTTTTAAAGATTTCAGTTTATACACTGTAGAAGGTTTTACAAATGCTATTTGATATCTACAAATAAAACTTTTATAAAAAAGTGAAACACTCATTTGCCTTTTTTAAGTGGGTATACTCCCATGTAAATCCACCAGTTGGTATTTTCTGGTCATCAAAAATGGTCTCTAGCTTAAGAACTAGAAAGTAGCATTTTCTAAAAAACAAGAATTTCTTAGTAGTCTTATCTAAAAATTGGCCTTTATAGGATATGAACATTTTAGGATTTGATTCATAAGAACATTTACATTGACCTTTTGTTCAGTTTGCTTTGGGAAAGTGCAAGCATTAGTAAACACTTTCAATAAAAAATAAATTCCATTTATCCTGGGAACAAGAGGTCATATTCTTTCTTTGAACAATGTTAGGTAGCTATAAGTGAAAAGAAAATCACAGAGAAATTACTGATTGAAAAGAACTTAAATTCTCTTCCCCCTAGAAAATTACTAGTTTACATTCAGAGACCTCTCCTTCTCCAAGGAAAGGCCCGTCCTGAGTCACCATGAATTCTCCATTGAAAATTACTCGCTTTGTACAGGTATATGCATCTTGAAATACACTGTCAAAGATAGCAACTTCCTGAATTCTCTCTTTTTTTTAAGATTTAATTTTTAAGTAATCTCTACACCCAGTGTGGGGCTCGAACTCACAACCCCAAGACCAAGAGCTGCATGCTCTACTGACTGAGCCAGCCAGATGCCCCAACAACTTCCCGAATTCTCATTAGAAGCCCGTGAGTTGGGCAGTCCAGAATTACTATTCCATTTCATAGAGGAGTTTCATTAAGCCAGCTGCTATGGTGGCCCTCAAGGACCCTAGCCGGTACTCCTGCCCTTTTATCACCCTTGAGTGCGGGCTGGACCCAGTGACCTGCTCTTCTATCAACAGAATACAGCAAAGGTGAGGGGATGTCCCTTTGTGACCACGTTAGAAAAGCCTGTGATTTCTGTCTTATGAGCAGATTCTCTATTGTTTCTCAGCTTACATGCTTGGATGAAGCAAGCTGCCACACTGGAGAGGCTCACACAAGGAACTGTAGCCTGCCAATAATCATGTGAGCTTGAAGATGGATCCTTCTCCAAGTTAAGCCTCGAGATGACGATAGCCCAGCCAATTCCCTGACTGCAGCTTATAGGAAACCCTGAAGTACAGAAGCCAGCTAAGCCATGCCTGGATCCCTAACCCACAGGAACTACGAGATAGTAAATGTGCATTGCTTTAAGCTGCTTGGCAGCAATTTGTTACCCAGCAATAGATAACTAACACCAGGGTTAAACAGACTGAATGCAACCTGTCTATGGAAACAGTAAAATATGGCCCCCAATTTTTGGACACTCCTGCCATCCAGAGGAGAGTTCTATGTCCCTCTATGTGCGTCTGGGCAGGCTTGTGATTTCTTCCAACTATGGAGTACACTGGAAGTGACGCTACGTGATTTCTCAGGCCGAGTTGGAAAAGGCCATGCAGCATCTATTTTGATGAATGAAACCCTGAGCTGCTGTGTAAGCAGGCCGAATAGCCTGAGGCTGCCACATTGTGAGGAAGCCCAAGCCCCTTGGGGAGGCCTCACGTGGGCACTCCAGACCACAATCACTGTTGACCCTGTTCATCCCAGCCCAGGCGCCAGACACGTAAGTGAAGCTTCCAGATGATTCCAGCCCCAGCCACTCAAGTCTCCCCAACTTAGTCCCCAAACGCTGTGAAGCAGAGACAAGTCCTTCCAGCGATGCACTTTTGGAGTTCCCAACCATGGAGTTTCTAAGAATAATGAAATGTTCAGGAATGTGGCTTCACACTACTGATTTTTGGGGTGGTTTGTTACACTGCAATAGGCAGCTGGAACACTGCCTATTGTCACACACAGATGTCACACAGCTTCTAAGGACTAGAGTTAAAACTGAGATCCAAGTTTTCCAGCTCTGACTTCAGCATTCTTTCCACCACTCCAGATGTTGCCTTTTTTTATCTAGGGTCTTTGTGTTTCTTTTTCACTTATGATGAGAGAATCTATACTGCAGTGCTGGTCAACTTGGGCAGCACATTGGAATCATGAGGGAAGTATTTAAAATACTGATATCTGGGTCCTGTTCCCAAAGATGCTGACTATTTGATCTGGGGTGCAGCCTAAGCAGCAGGAGGCTTACAAAACTTCCCAGGTGGTTCTAATATATAGCCACATTGGAGACTCACTACTCCATACCACATGCTGATCAATGCAAAAAAAAAAAAAAATCAAACTTGGTAATGATCAAATCAATTTTCAATGATCCATCCTGATGGAATGAAGCAGTGGCACAGAGAATCCAAAGAAGCAGATTATTTTAAAAATCATAATTCTATTATAGAAAGATGATGTGGGAGTGTGTGTATGGGCATGAATGTGCACATGAAGACCACTGTGTGTGTGTATTTAGGGGGCAGAATTTAGCTTCCCAACAGTATATGCAGACAGTGTGCTAAGCATCAGAACTTAACAATAATACAGGGTGCCTGGGTGGCTCAGTCAGTTGAGCATCTGACTCTGGATTTCAGCTCAGGTCATGATCTCAGGGTCCTGGGTTCAAGCCCTACATCGGGCTCCCTGCTCAGCAGGGAGTCTGCTTGTCTCTCTCTCCCTTTGCCCCTCCCCCTGCTCTCTCTCTCTCTTAAATAAATAAATAAATCTTAAAAAAAAAAAGAGAACTTACAATAATACTAAAACCTGATACATTCTCACTAAAGGAACCTACCCTCCAGTGACAAGAGAAAGCAGAGGAGAGCCTTGGAATCTAAGATGCCCTAGATTTTTAAGTATTACTATCCCAGGACTCATCACACAGGGCAATCTTTGTAGGTGGAGAACCATGAAGTCACGGTGAAACCTAAGCGCTGAGCACTGGCCAATCTCACTTACTAGCAAAATGACTTGATCCTGGATGCCAGCTTCATAGCTCTCAAAAATCAAAATTGTATGTGTGTCTGATAAAAATGACAAATATTTACAGGTCACAGGTCTTCAGGGTTACTTGCAAATCTTTAGAGTCATAAAAGTTAAAATTCTTGAATATGAGGATTTACTGAATCCTATAAACTATAATTCAACAAAGATATAAACAGTGTATAGTAGCATAGAAGAGATAATTGCTTTTTTGAGATTTTTTTTAAACAAGGTTTAATAAACTTGATTTGAAGGAGAGATTACGTAGGATGTGTGTTTTAGAGTACTTACATATACACAGAATTACTCTACATACAAGCTACATCCTAAAGAGCTATAAAGTTACAAAGTATCATAATCATCAGACTTGTGAAGAGTCCAGAGCTTAATTATTCCCAACACACAAAAAAAGAAATGATAATTATGTGATGTGACAGAGGGGCTATTACTACAGTGACAATCACATTACAATGTATAAATGTACCAATATGTTGTCCCCCTTAAATCTATACGTTTTACGTCAAATATATTTCAATTAAAAATTGTGATTAAAAAAAATTTTAAGCTGTAAAATTGATCTTGTTTGCGATGATGAAAGAAAAATATTGAAATTATATACCCAAATAAGGTAAACTGTCAAACAATGGAGGAAAATTACTTACCAAAATACGAAGCTAATAGTTGAATAAACATGTTTTAAGAAGAGAAAGGTGTTAATATCAGGGCAACTCCATCTCGATTTGATTAAATGACACAAGGGGTATGTGTGTGCTTGTGTATGTGTACAAGCATATGTGTATTTCTGAGATTTTATATTTTATGTACCAGAAAGAAATAGGAAGAGGGATCAAAACTGGAGAAAATTATACTGCATTAGCTGAGACATGCCTGAATCAAACTATGGTTCTAGCTGTAAATGTCATGCTGTTCATGGAAACATGCCCTGAGATAAACAGCAGGTTCTCCTTTTAGTGGACACCCCCTGTGTGTGTGTGTGCCAGTGGAATACATTAATTCTATCTTTATCCTCCAATTCTAACTCTGCTGGTCTGTGTGTTACCTCCATTGGTGACCCATTAAGCCAGAATTTGTCATTTGCAACATGCTTTTGCTAGGTATTAGCCTTAAGTTGTGTCCAAGAATCATCCTACTTGGCCAATCTTGAATGTGCACTTCTTCTTTAAGCATATAAGGAAAACACTATGCTTTTTCTCATTTCTCACTTCAGAGGGACTCTCCCAAGTTCACACCGAAGAAATGGTAAATGGTAAGTCTCACTGTATTGCTTGGGCAAATCTTCATAGAAAAGGTCCTTTTTTGAGCTGGTCCTGGAAGAAGCCTGTTGGGAACTGTCAGAAGTTTCTAAAATACACACAGTACAAAGCCTTAAGAATGTTTATGTCATAGTTAGGGAGTTAAAAAACTTGTAAAAGTAAAAATTGGGGAAAACGAAATCGCATTACAAGACAACAAGATATATCCAAGACATGCCTAAATAGTTGGCAAGTGCTTGGTATAGATAACTCAGGCTATGAGATTAGAAAAGGAGGATGCCTCCATGAGATGGGGTGGGCTTCAGCAGAATGTTGAATTCTGTGAACATCACATACACAAAAAGAAGGAGCAGCAGTAGAAGTAAAGAAGAAACAACACGGAAGTGGGCAATGATCAGGAGCTCTCTTGCAGAGCGAGAGGAATCTTCAAAAATGTGTTGGTCCTTTGATATCATCACCTTGGAGGAGATGCACATAATTTAGTAATTTGTAAATTGGTGATCCATAAACAACTACCCCAATGCTGACTGTAATCTTCTGTTTTCAGTGGCTGCCACTCATTTCTATTCATTAGTTCCTCTTCTGTGAGCTTGTTGTACATCCGTAATTCCACAAGACAGAGGGGATTTGGGGTACCTGGGTGGCTCAGTCAGGCAAGCATCAGACTCTTGGTTTTGGCTCAGGTCATGATCCCAGGATCATGAGATCGAGCCCTACATCGGGCTCCCCACTCAGCAGGGAGTCTACTTGAGATTCTCTCTCTCCTTCTCCCTTTGCCCCTCCCCCTGCTTGCTCTCACTCTCTCTAAAATAAATAAATAAAATTTAAAAAATAAAATAAAATAAAGACAGGGGGACTCTTTGGTGAATGGGCAGGTAGTGGAAAGACGGAGGGAACCAGTTGGATATTCCCACTAATGAGTCATTGTTTTGCTGTTAAGCAGAGAAAAGATGTTAGGATCTGTTGATGGCTTTAAGCTTTCTATCTATGCTAAGTTCATTTTCTATTTTCTAAGTAGTTTCTTTGACAGCTCTGTAGCAATAAAATTAGGGGAGACATCACTGTGATAATCAAAAGCTTTTTGGTTCTTATTGCTTGGTATTGCAGCTCCTCCCATAGCAATATACAATGCAGAAGGTGGAGGTGTTCTGGAATCTGAAATTATCCTGCTCTCAGTGATAGACAAGAACAAGCTGTGTAATATTTGTATAAATCAAAAATCACTTGTGAATAAGCAAAGCCTAAATACACATATACGTAAACCACAAATAATTAAATACGTGGAAAATTTGGAAAAGGTGTTGGGGAACAGGATAAAGCAAGTATTTGATTTTATTCTAAGTTTACAGGAACCTTAATTTCTAAGAGTTTTTTCTCCCTTGCAGGTCCTGTTGACATGTTCTCAGAGTTTGAAAAAGAAATGTATAGGTGAGTAGAGTCCACAGGCATTTGCTTAGGGCTGTTTCAGATAACCTGCACTGTGTCCTCCCAAGATCCTTCTGTGATCATAAGCGATCATCATTTTGATGATTGTTGATGAATAAAAGGAAGTTGTAGAACAATTAGTATATAAGACCATAAAAAATAAAGATGAGAAAGAAAGCTGTGTGTATGAATGGATGGATGGATCTGTCTATCCATCTTCCTTTTTTTTTTTTTTAAAGATTTTATTTATTTGAGAGAGAGAACACGAGTAGGGGGAGGGGCAGAGGGATAAGCAGACTCCCCGCTGAGCGGGCAGCCCAATGCAGGACTCCATGCGGGGCTTGATCCCAGGACTCTGAGATCATGACATGAGCAGAAGTCAGACGCTTAACCGACTGAGCCACCCAGCCGCCCCTATCTATGCATCTTTCTATCTGTCATTTATCTATCTATCCATGCATAGAACTAATCTGGAAGAATACACACCTAATTGGAAATAGTGGTTAATTCAGGAGAGAGAACTTGCTAGGGGTGGAGCAGTGGTGATGAAGAAAGATGACACACATTACATATTTTTGTACTGCTTGAATTGCCTGCAATTAATTACTTTTGAATTTTAAATACGCCACACAAAGAAAAGAGAGTAAGTAAATAAATCACCAGCTGGGATCTAAAATACAAAAGCAAGTTGCTTAAAATGATAGCATAATGTTTTTTTTTTGCAATGATAAATTAACTGCTTTGATCTCACCATGATGTGTTTATAAAAGCTTATGAGAAAAAATAACAAATGTGCTCAGTTGTAACAATGTCTTCAATGCAGAATATCTTATTGCCTGGAAATAACTTGGAAAGAAAAGAAAATAAACTACCAAGATGGTGCTACAGAACAGAAAGACCTGGGACCAAGCTGTAACATCACTGTAAACATAGCATCCGGGGTGATAGAAACCAAACAGAACAAGAGCAAAAAGACCCCTATGTGTTTGAGAGGATACTGATTGCATAATTTTTAAATGTAAATTTAACCTAGTAGACATTTGTGATGATTATCCAGTGCTATGGACTGAATTGGCCCCCCTGTAAATCCCCGTGTTGAAGCCCTAACCTCCAGTGTGCTGGCATTTGGAGATGGGCATTTGAGGAGGTAATTAAGGTTCAATGAGGTCATGAGGGCAGGGCGGTAATCCAATAGGACTGGTGTCCTTCTAAGAAGAGAAAGAGACACCAGGAGGGTATTTGTACGGAGACAAGGCCATCTGCAAGCCAGGAGGAAAGGTCTCAGAAGCCAACCCTGCTGGCAACTCCATCTGGGATGTCCAGCCTCCAGAACACAGAGAAAACACATTTCAGCTGTTTAAGCTACCTAGTCTGTGATACTCTGTTACGTAGTGGAAGCCAATACACTCACTATATCGCTTTCAGATGAGGGGAGGGGTTACAGAAATGAACAAGGCAGGGGCTCTGCCCTCTAGGACTGAGGCACAGTAGTGCATGAATAAGAACACGACTCTGGAGCTATACTGTGCCGTGTGACCTTGAGCAAGTTACTTAACCTCTCTGAAAGACAATATTAGTATGCAGGGATGTTATAAGGCTCATGAGGATTAATTATAAAGAACCTAGAACAATGTCTGGCACACAATAAACACAATTTAAGTACTTGTTAAATAGATGAGAGTGTTGTCCACTGGAAAAGAGGATACGAGATAAAAAATATGATGAATAAGGGGAGTCTGGGTGGCTCGGTTGAGCATCTGACTCTTGGTTTCAGCTCAGGTCATGGTCTCGGGGCCCTGGGATCAAGCTCCGCATGGGGCTCCATGCTCAGCATGGAGTCTGTTTGTCCCTCTCCCTCTGCTCCTCCACCCCCCCCTTTTCTCTCTCTCTTGAATGAATAAATAAAATCTGGGAGACGAATCATGAGAGACTATGGACTCTGAGAAACAAACTGAGGGTTCTAGAGGGGAGGGGGGGGAGGATGGGTTAGCCTGGTGATGGGTATTAAGGAGGGCACGTTCTGCATGGAGCACTGGGTGTTATATGCAAACAATGAATCACGGAACACTACTTCAAAAACTAATGATGTAATGTATGGTGATTAACATAATAAAAAAATAAAAAATCTTTAAAAATATATGAATAACTTTAAAAAATAATGACTTGCTTATAATTTTCATTTAATACTCCAGAGAAATTTATGTATTCCTTAAAAATATTATGGGAGTACCTCTCTTAATGTAAATCCAAACTATAATGCTAAAGAGAAAATTAATAATGTTTAAATATTTGTTTATTAATTGTGACAAATATATTATACTCCTGTATGATATTACTAATAAGAGAAATTTGGTGTGGGGTATATGCGAACTCTCTGTGCATTGTAATAATTCTGTAAATCTAAAACTATTCTAAAATAAAAATTTGTTTTTAAAAAGGAAGATAAATCAAGGGATAAGTATTTGCTGAAATATGGACCATTAAATGATAAATTTAGGAGCTGAGCCATAGTAACCTTTGACTCACCCCTGTCTATTTTACAGATGAGGGTTGATTTAAATCAACCTTTACACATACCTTATTTTCAAGGTCAAATTCATATAGGAAACAAAGGGGGCAGAAAAAGAAGAGCACTAACCTAGTTGATAGGAGGCACCACATTGAATTTTAGTTCTGCCTGGAACCAGAGTGTGACCTTGACACATCAGTGACAGTTCTGGGCCTTCCATTCTCCATTGGCCACTTTGGGCTCTAACAGTCTTGATTGTCAACTTTACGTGCATCTACTTCACAAAGTAAGGCAGCTCCAGGGAGCAGACTCTAACCTGATACTCTCTCCAAGCCTTTAGAAAAAGAACTGCATGCAGTTTATGCGCCCATTTTTGAGTGTGTGTGAGTGGACTGTGAATCAACTAGACAATTATTTTTTAAAAAAGACTCAACATTCAGGGTTAGGTTTTCAGGGCGTATACTATCCAACTAATCATTCAGATTTGGACAGGAGTAACTGTGGACCAACCCTGACACTAAAATATTTACAGAAAACTTGCAAGGGAAAGATGACATTCTAAATAAGTGCATGCTCTGACACGTTGTTAACAGATAAAATCTGATGCAGAGAAAGAGGGGCCTGGAATGTTTCTACAATGGTAACTGAACAAGAAAGATTAGGAGCTAAGGCAAAAAGTTTTCAAGCCAAAAAGAAGAACACTTTTAAAGGCTTTCAAGTAATGGAGCCCGACGCCAACTAATGTTGCAGAAATGCCATCACCAGTAATCCACGGACTGTCACTGAGAGCCACCTGTTGAGGAAGAATAATGATGGCTATTCAGTCAACAAATTCAGGGAGAAATTCAATTGCCCCAAAGCGCTTTTCAATTCCACTACTGGTTGTCATGAACAAATTGTCATTCATATTATAATGTTTACTGTAAAAGTCATATTTTCCTTTTGTGAGATACTATCAAAACACATATTCAGTAGTAACATATATATGAAAAGTCAATGCTATGATTTCTTTTCCACACAAGTAAGTCATATTCTCATGTTAGCAAATTATTATTATTATTTTATTTATTTTTTTATCTTTTTAAGGAGAGAGTGCAAGCAGAGGGGGGCACCTGGGGAGGCAGACGGAGAGAGAGAATCTTTTTTTTTTTTCCATTTTTTTAATTATTATGTTATGTTAATCACCATATATTACATCATTAGTTTTTGATGTAGTGTTCCATGATTCATTATTTGCGTATAACACCCAGTGCTCCATGCAGAACGTACCCTCTTTAATACCCATCACCAGGCTAACCCATCCTCCCATCCCCCTCCCCTCTAGAACCCTCAGTTTGTTTTTCAGAGTCCATCGTCGAGAGCGAGAATCTTAAGCAGGCTCCACCCCCAGCACAGAGCCTGAGGCGGGGCAAGATCTCAGGATGCTGAGATCATGACCTCAGCCAAAATCAAGAGTCTGTCACTTAACCAACTGAGTCACCCAGGCACCCCTGTTAGCAAATTATTAAATGCATAAAAGGCCCGGATCCTTCATGTCCTGTATATAATCATTTGATTTAATGTGATGGCATATTGATGTGCAATGAAGCTTATTTTTCTTTTAACCATTTTTAACATCATTGATTGAGAGAAAAGTTCAGGAAAATGAACAGCCTCTACGCTGGCTCTGAGCTTGATATTATTTACAAGATCTGTGTTGGAAATAGTGAAAACTAAGGGCCCTGATTGCTCTCTTAATACCATCAAGTAGCCATTTCAGGAGTCAATCCCTTGGGGTACATAGATGTGGGCACAGTATTTATATTCTGGAAGACAATGATGCATTCTAGGCAGAGGAGAAGGGATTCTCTTCTGCATACTTTCTACCTGGAAATGCACTTCATCAAGTAGAAGAAGGCTGGATGTTGCTAGTGTTTTTTTTTAATAGAAGCAAACTCTACTGATATGAGGACTGAAGCATGACAAGTTATGTGAGAATCTGTCCTTCCAGAGCTCTCATAAGGTAGACACTGCTGTCAACAACCAATAACATGGCTGAAGCTGCAAATACTTAGCACATTTGATCAATATGTATAAGCAATCAGCTGAATAACATTTATTTATTTACTTACTTATTGTTTATTATTTCCTCAACTGGACCAATTTCTAATGACTTTATTCTAGTTCAGGACTACCACAATGCACAACTTCAGGGGGCACTATTCACATTTTATTTAATTATAACTTATTGTAGGTAACATGCATGATGCCCTCTGAATTGTACAGCATTGTGTCCCTGCTACAATTCATAAAAATGCACAATGGAAAATGTATATCAATAAATCTGAAGTTATTGATATCTTTTGCTTTTAGTAAATTAGACTTTCAAAAGCCGTACCATTTTTGAAAGAGAGATCCTCTCTTGGATGTTTTCCTTCAGTTTGGTTCCTTTTCCTTCCCAGCATTCCTTTCTCTGGGACAAAGGCTGTTCCCCCACTCTGAGCTATGTTAGTGATGCTGTCAATCCCCAGCCCTTACAGTAGTGGGCATGGCATCCAGGCCTGACCAGTCATGGCCCGGCATTACCTGGTTGATAGTGATTGGCCCAGGGGTAAGCACGTGATACTAGCAGGGCCAATCAGAGTTCTTCCATAAGATTTGCTATGTGGATGTAGAGCTGTGAGGATGTAAGCCTGGGAACATTCACCGCCCTTTTTCCCCATGGGAGGGAAATCCCAAAATGTAAAATTAGAGAGATCAAAGCCATGGAGAGAAAAGAAGAGTGTGTAGTGCAGAAAAATATTTCTCAGAACATCTACTTGAGTCTCTTGATTTACCTCTGATCTCCCAGTTATGTGTGCAAATAACCATTTATTCCTCAATGTACACTGAATTGAGCTTGTCACTCACATTCAAAGGAGCCTACTTACCAGAACCATGGCTGCAAGTTTTTTATTCCTCTCAGGATACCTCTCCAAGTTGAGTCAATTTAAAGCCACATAGTTCTACATCCTCTCTCAGAAAAAGAAAAAGAAAAGTTTTAAACAACAGATCTCTTGGTGCTATTAACGCACTTGACCCATGATATTCAGGCAATGTTTCCAGGCAACACTCGAGATTAGTAAAAATATATAGCAAATAAATAAGCAGAATTTTAAAAATATCTTCTTCATTATGAAACCTTTCAGAGCACTGTTACTGAGGATGACATGAGGGACCCTGCTTTCACTATCACCAAGTGTTACCAAATCTTCCCACCTGGCCACATTAAGCATGTGGAATTCATCACACCTTTTTACTAGGGTATAAATTCTTTCTCACATCAAGTGCATGACTAGAGAAAAAGTTAAGATGTGAACCTTAGTTCTAATACTAGTTCAGTCAATAACTTATTGGATGAACATGGACAAACTATGAAACTTCCTGAGCTTCAGTTTCCTAATTGTCAAAATTGAGACATTAAAAAGATCTTTGTGTTTAGATTTGCTATTTCTTGCATTTGACTGTTTTCTTATCCATCATGTATTTTGATGCCTCACAGTATGCCTGGCACAGAATAGACACTTAACAAATAATTGTTAGGAGAACCAGATGAACTAATGAACATACATTCACCTCATGGGTTGTCATAAAGAATATATAAGATAACCCAAATATATATATACACATATAATAACCCATTATAATACGTAGCACATCATAGTTGCTTATAAATACTAGTTTTCTTCTTCCCTTCCTTCATCTTCCTGGTGTTGAGACACAAACCATTTAGTGTGTCTGATGCTTTGCTCACCATTTGTCACACTAAACCCTCTTTATTCAAAACCTTCCAGAATTCTCCATAAGACACCTTTGATGATAAATCCACTAGCTTCAAATCAGCTTCACTATGTGTGCCATAGCAATGCTCCTGAAAACCTTGCTTTACTTGGAATGTCCCAATGTGTTTCTTCATATTTGATTGTCCTCTCTCCTGATGAGTCTCACTTCCTACAGTGTCTAATACAGTATTTTCATGAAATGGGATAATAGCGATTTTCTGTCTCCAACAAAATTGATCAGTTTGGAGCAAATTGGAGTCCTCCCTTCCTTATGTTACTTTACCTAAGCTAACTTAAAACATAGGCCCCTTTATTTTGGATTGGCTTTCTTCTGCCCATGGAGAGCTAATTCTGAACTCCCTGTTTCACTTGGGGATAAGTCACTTTTTAAACGAGAATAATAATTGCTTAGAATACCATCCAACTTCACAGTTTGGAATGGCTTTTCACATAGATTATTTCACTTAGTCTTCACAACATATTTGTTTAGCATGGTTTTTGGAGTCCAACTGAATTAGTTTGGAATCTTAACTATCAATAGCTGTGTGATTTCAGCTTACTTACTTAACCTCTCTGACTCTCAGTTTCTTCACTTGTAAACTCAAAGAAAACAGAATTATGCTTCTTAGAATGATTGTGGGAGTCTAATGATATACAGAGATCATGTGCCATGGTCAAAATTTAATCAATGGGATGGAAGCCATCTAATAAATGGTAGTTACAATTATTGTCTTATAAACAAGAAAACCAAGGCATAGAGGGCAAAGGAAGCAGTCAGAAGGCTCTGTGTAAAGAGGAATTTTGATCCTAAATGCCATGTTCCAATCTATTTCTCTCCCCTTCCAGCAAAGAAGCCTGCAAAAAGCTTCTTCACACTTTCTTTAATTTGATTGTTTTAACAACCCTAAGAGGTTTATGCAGAAAATTACCCTTTAGCTCTGTGGGGAAGTGCATTTTAATGGATGAGTTTTAACGGCTGTTCCAGCTAAATTGGAAAGGTTGGCCAGCATCACAACCCCAACAAGTAGAGAAGTAGAGCAGAAACGCAAAAGCCTAACGCAGATGTGAACCAAGACGATCTGGCCTAGAGAAGATGAGGCTAATGGCCCTAACTCAGGACAGGGGCATTTACCAGTGACTCAAACTGAAATCGAAACACACCCTCACCTGATACTCAAAAGCAGTTTCCTTATTTTTTCTTATTTTAGTTAATTGTCCAAAAGGGCAAAAAGAGGCCCCAGAAAGAAGCAAAGAAAAATTTTTTCTTACTTCCTCAATCTTCTTTGTGCTCAGGAGGTCAAGTTGCTATTATTATTTTAGAAAGGGTAATATTTAATACAATAGGTAGCATTCACTGAGTGCCTAATTTGTGCTAAACACTGTGAAAGGTATTTTAGCTCTACTTCTTTCAACCATCTTACAGTGTAGTTAGGATTATTCCTTTATTAAAGAAGAGAAAGGGGCGCCTGGGTGGCTCAGGCAGTTAAGCATCTGACTCTTGATTTCAGCTCAGGTCATGATCTCAGGGTCATGAGATCGAGCCCCACGTCGGGCTCTGCACTGGGCATGGAGCCTGCTTGGGATTCTCTCTCTCTTTCTCCCTCTGCCCCTCCCCCCACCTCTCAAAAAGATTAGAAGAGTTTTCTGGTTACGAAGTAGAGTGAGGGTCATGGGTAGAAAAGAATCTCTGGCTCACCCAGCTGGAATCCTTGTCTTCTCTCCCTTCTTCTCCTCTCAGCCAGAGGCATTCATTCATTCGCTTGTTGGTTTATTTATTGATTTAGCACTGCTCTGGAATGAGACAGGTATAGAATTACTAAGAGTTCTGCCTCGAAGTGTGATCGTCATCTTCACTGATGTTTGTGTTCTTATCCAAACAGAACGTCCTCCGTTTCTCCCGGCATCCCAGGTAACTCTTGGTTACTCCTGAAGCCTTCCGCTGAGTGATGGCAGTATCTCCTCCCTTCTCTGATTCTGGGGAGTGTTTCCCAGGGCCACGTGGTCACATTTCCTTCTGAACTGCTGCTCTGGCCTCCCCTCCATGTCTTCTGCTGACTTCTGAACAGCTCTAAGTTTCCCAGGACTTCTCACTCTCTCTCCTTCATGCCCTGAGGCACCCTTATCATAACGCTCTCCTGTGCTTCAGATTTTACTAAAGGTTAGGGATAAAGGTGGTGAGTTATACCTCAGGAAAAGAAACAAACAAAAATTGAGAGCAGACATCACTTGTCTTAAAATCTTTTCCCTTCTCTGCTCTACAGAATCTATTTCAGGCAGATACTCTTCACAGTATGTCAACCACTGTGTTGGCAGGTGGCAGAACCTGTCATTCCTTTATAGACCTTTGTCCCAATTATTTCCCCCAAAGTACCAGAGAAGCCAGGTTAAAAAAATCACTGTTACCTTACTTATCATGCAGAGGAACTGGGCCCCCTTTTTATTTGGTATCTTCCATCCCTGCCAGCCTGGCCCCTCTCTTCCAACCCCAGGAGACACTAAAGGGAAGATACATTTTTCTCTGAGGTGGTTTCTGTTTTGAGCACCAGAGAGAATAAGCTGCTATCAGTTTTCCTCTTTTCTTAATTGCATCTTGTTGTTCCTGCTATAGTTACATGATTTCTTAAACATAAAGCCCAGAAGTCTCATTCCATCATAAAAGCTAACACGGAAATGAATGAGCAGGGAAGAGAGTATCACACAGTATTCTCCCTGAAGGTGGGGAGTATGACTGTCCTGGCATATCTTCATGAGTTCTCATTAATATTCAGGCAGTTGGGGGGCACCTGGGTGGCTCAGTAGGTTAAGCATCCGACTCTTGATTTTGGTTCAGTTCATGATCTCAGGGTTGTGAGATTGAGTCCCCACTGGGCTCTGCACTGGGTGTGGAATCAGCTTGAGATTTTCTGCCTTTCCCTCTACCTCCACCCCTCCCCCTGCTCTCTCCCTCTCTCTCCTCCCCCTCAAATAAATAAATAAATAAAATCTTAAAAAAAAATATTCTCTTTTTCCTTCTCCCTCTGCCCCTCACCCCCCTCTAAAAATATATATTAAGGCAGCTTCAAGGCACTCATGTTGGTTAGCTGTGAAGGAAAAGACGAATCCAGGAAGTTGAGGTGAGCTTATCTTCCATCTTGAAATCTCTATCAATCTTATAAGCTCAGTCATCATTCCTGAATAGGCACACATCATTTATTTAACAAATATTTACTGAAGAGATATTAAAATGCCACAGACACCATTAAATATCATTAACCTAATGGTTAAGAAAGGATTAAAAGCCTTTGTGATGGCTTAAATTACACAGTTCTGTTCTCAGGGCTATGGGAAGATGGAAGAGGGAAGCTCCCAGCTCTGGCTGAAGAGTTCAATGAAACTTTCAACTTCGTATCATCAAATTGCTTCCTTTTATTTATCCCATTGTCTTGCCCCAGATGATTAAACTATACTACAGTTTGAGAGATGCATCAACCAGACTTGAAATTCACATGTATTAGTGCTCTGGCTCATATAGCTTTTGGGGACAGGAGAAAGAAAGGTGCTCCCAGGAGCTGGGCAGCATGTTGGCCCCAGGATTCTGCCCCAGGGGCATTGTTTACATCATCTATTTTCCATAGAAAGTTGTAGTTAATGACCAAATGTTGTGGAAGAGACTATGTTGGCATAGTGGAAAGATTCCAGTATTAACCTTCCAGAGACCTGGATTTCATAATTCCCAACTCATTCACCAACAGGATAACAACAGTGAATTTTATCAACAGTTTTCTTATCAGTGAAATAAGAGATCAGGTGATTAGATGATGCTGAAGGTCTATTTTAGATAGAAATATTACATTTGGGCGCCTGGGTGGCTCAGTTGGTTAAGCGACTGCCTTCGGCTCAGGTCATGATCCTGGAGTCCCAGGATCGAGTCCCGCATCGGGCTCCCTGCTCGGCAGGGAGTCTGCTTCTCCCTCTGCCCCTCCCCCCTCTCATGTGCTCTCTCTCATTCTCTCTCTCTGAAATAAATAAATAAAATCTTAAAAAAAAAAAAAGAAATATTACATTTAACTACTCGTGATGTCTACATAAAGAATGAGCCAGTTTCAGTTATCTGTTGATTCATTCATTTAATTATTCATTTATTCCTCAACTAGTGTACTTAAGATCATGAATTTTATGGTCAATTTTTTTGCTGTTTCATGGTCAAGTAGACTTTGACTCAGGACTTGGTTTCTCTACTTAATAGATAAATGACCTTGGACAGTTAACTGATTGACTTCTTTGTGGTCCTGTTTCCTCATTTCTAAATGAAAATAATATTACCTTAATCATAAGGCTATTGGAAGGTATATTAGTATTCTCCAGAGAAACAGGACCAACCAGTAGGATGTGTGAGAGAGTGTGTGTGTGTGTGTGTGTGTGTGTGTGTGTGTGGAAGAGAGATTTTAAGGAATTGGCTTACATGATTGTAGATAGAGGCTGGCAAGTCCAAAATCTGCCAGGAAGGCCAGCCGACAAGACCTAAGGGAAAGTTGATTCTGCAACTTGAGTCCAACAGCAGTCTGCTGACAGAATTCTGTCTTTCTGAGGAATCTATCAGTCTTTTTCTTAAGGTCTTCAACTGATTGGATGAGCCTCACCAACGCTATGGAGAGTAATCTGCTTAACTCAAAGTCTAAAGATTTGAGTGTTAATCTTATCTAAAAAATACTTTCACAGCAACATCAGACATGTTTAACCAAATATCTGGATGCTCTGAGGCTTAGCCAAACTGACATATAAAATTAACAATCACAGAAGAAGTACTGATCATGCAAGGAACAAATTTAGTGCAGTGTCTAACACAAAAAACCAATAACAATAAAAAATAGCTGTTATTATTGCTGCTGTTATTATTCTTTACTGAGTACCTACTCTTGTTTTTTTTTGATGGGTACTAGGTTAGATTCTGAAGACGTAACAACTCAGAATATACCAATCTTTGTCCTCAAGGAACTTACAGTCTAAACATGGACCCTAATAAGCTACCTGACCATTATAATACAGCGTTCTGAATACTAAGAAGGCAAAAGACTACTCTGACAAATACGGGTATGGTAAGAATACATAAAAGGGCCTTGACTCAAAATGGGCTGAGGGGCAGGGATAACGTAACAAAGATCTAATGGATGAATAGACCCTAATCAGGTAAATGGACATGAGTGGGAGGGAGGAAGAAGCAATGTATGTTAAGGAATTAAGTGCAAGGAACTAGAAATGAGTAAGAATGTAGTCTATTCATAGAACTGCAAGTAGTTTATCATTTGTTGGGTCAGAGAATGAAAGAAGCCAGTGAAGACAGAAAGGCAAAAAGATTGAAGGGTAAGCCTGTAAAAGGGCTCTTACCAAGCTAAGCAGTTTGGACTGTATCCCCAAAGCAATGAGGACCTAAAATCTGGTAGTACTGTTGGAAATGGAGAGAAGAGATAAATTTGGGAGGTCTCAATAGGTAAAATGGATAAGGCCTGATGATGGATTAAATGTTTGAGGTGGGGGGCAGGGGGAAGGAACGCTGAGACTTATTAGAAGATACTAATAACTCTTGTAATTCCAATAAAGGGTATTTTGAAGAACGCTGGAGGACTTTGCACGAGGCATCTGCACTCTCTGTTCTTCATTTTCCACATTCGTGAAATGAAGATACTGGACTCAGTGCTCTTTGAAAGCCCTTGCCTTACTCTAAAATTCTACCATCTTGTGACTACTTTGTACATAAATGCATTTAGGGGGTGGGGAGAGGATGCTTTTTGTACTATCAAGTCAATAAACTGAAAAGCAATAAATAGTATCACCAGACTGGTATTTAACTATGATTTTGCAATTATTACAGGATGTCAGAACGAGAAAGATCAGGAAATTAGATAACACATGCTAGTATCTTTTATGTTCTGTTTGAGCTGTCAGAAAAATAGGGGCGGTTGACACTGCAGATCTACAAAGATTAAACGGATTGTTCTAACTAGAATCAAAGTTGATAAGCAAATTTCTATGAATAGTGAAACAGACCAAAAAGCTGATTGGTGAAAAAAAAAATGCATGGGAAAGAGAAACAAGCACGCTCTTTTTTTTTTTTTTTCCTATTGTGAGTTTGAAAAAAAAATTATTGATTGCTCTGGTTTCAAGCACTTGATTTATCTTTTATGACACTTGAAACCCAGTGTTTGCTCTACAGCTTAAAGTTTATTTGGTGAGCTAACAAAGGCCCTGCAGAATTCTAAAGGAGAGAATGAAATCAAATGGGGATCTGAACTGAAAACCAGTCCAGATGGTCATTTTGTCCCTCCTCAAGTTGAACTTGAACCATTATTTAGAAGTCTTTTTGAGCAAGAACTGAATGGTGAAAAGATTTTCAGAGATTATCTGGTATGAGCCATTTGGAACCTGGCTGATGAGTTACTGGAGTTCTTCTGACCTGAAAAACAAGGAGCTGAACATGAGGCTATGATTCAACTCTCCAATCTTCTGGTAGAGCGCTGGGAGCAAATATCTTGCATCATAAATATTATATTTTGAGTTAGTTTTCATTGTTCGGCTGGGCCCTCACATAAAAACATTAGAAGATGTTTTATCAAAAATTCAGAATACACATTAATTTAGTTAACTCTGGGTGCATGTGGGGAGGTGTGTCTATAACTTGGTTGGCAGCATCTTAAAAATAATGGGCAAATTTATTTTTTTCTCACCTTATTGCACCTCAGTAATCATTACAGACCATATCAGTAGCTCTGATGTTTTTGGGAGAAGGAGGAGAATCTATTTTCAAGCCTCACTTTGACAAACTCTGTCATATAATATTACTGAGTTCTATTCTAAGGGCTGTGGGATTTATCTAAGGGCTAGATGAGTCTGATAAATTTTCTGATCCCTTAATAATAATCATAAATGATGTTATTTCTATCTCCTCATTGAATTAATAATTGAATGCTGACTCACATTCTTCCTGATTTAAATCCAAACCTGAAAATTATCTCTTCCTGAAAAATATTCTCAAATAATCCTTTCTGTTGTACAGCTAACTTTTTCAATGTGTTTGAATTACAGATCAATTTTTTTCTAACAAATGCTACCACCATGCAAATTTATTCAAATATGTAAGTAATTTAGATATTTTATTCCAAGGCAATAAATAAATTTAGATAACCCTAGGATTAGTGAACCGAATTAGACTTAACATGAATAATAATGCTTCACATAATTTTGCTAATGTCATACTCAGTGTATTTTGTCTCTGTGTTATTATAATCCTCTAAGGACAAGAACAGTGCTTGTTTTTCAAAATGTATTTCAAATATTCACTGGAATTTTCAGTCCCTTGATGTTGGTATCCACATCAAGAAGAGCCAGCCGGTGAAGGGAGGCATCCATCCAGGTTCATTCATGCCAGCATTTGGGGTTCTGGGATAGGTTAAAGAAGCTTCCTGAATTTACAAGGAAAGGATTGAACAAGAAGTATGAGTTCAAACTCAGGTCATTCAAGAATATAGAGGGGCAAGTCAGGGAAATTGAGGTAAGTGAGCAAGTACCAAGGGTAAGAACAAGAAACAAGACAAAGAAGAGAGGCAACTCAAGGGTCAAAAGCTGAGTTGAACTGGAACCAAGTGGAAGCAGAGGCAGTATCTGGAACACCAGTGGTTGTGACCACAGTTCCCTATGCAAGATGTCTCTGTCCTTATGGACTCTTAAGCCAGCCTGGGCTTTGCATGAGCCACAGGACTTTTTCCTGCTGTACAAGTCCTTAGTTGATTGTAGGCCCAACTCTGATGCCTGCATTGCCTTCAAAGGATGGGGGCACCTCCTTTCAAGCAGAAGAAGGAGGTAAGGGACCAGTTTATGAGTTCAGAGAAAGAGAGAAAGAACATGAAACACTCCCAAAGAGGTCCAAGCATGTTTCTGTCTCACTTCTATTTTATTCATAGTCCCTTTCCTCCTCCCGTCAGAACTCTGCTCCTTAGTACAGTAGCTTAAATTTATCCTTGGTGTCCATTTTGTCCACAGCCTATACTTGACATTTCCCCTTTAGGGAGGACAGGGAAGTGGTGAGGGAAGACACAGAATTTTGAGTGTTCCCCGGGGTTTTGCACATGAGGCCAATATTCCCCTCCAAGTCCATCTTTCCTGGATTAACCCAGCTGCACTATAGACCAGCCAGAGTTGACATGATTGCTACCTCCCCACCACCACAATGGAATACCAGCAGAATGGGAGAGGAGAACAGCTTTCTAATCCACACCATCAGTCCTCTTATTTACCTGGGATCAAGGACATGGACAGCTGAGGCCATTTGTCTACATGTGAATGATGCTTTCACGGAGCTGCAGAATTTTCTAAAATGAGACACAAACTCCCTTTAAGCCACATTATACACTAGACAAAGGAAGCTCCCCTAGTCTCTTTCCAATCTACTGCTACCAAAAAAAAAAAAAAAAAAAAGCAAAAACACCCTTACATGATTAGATTTTACAGCAACATTTAGATAATAGCATATTTTATTTTTAAAATGTGATATTACAGTATTAAGGTAGCTCAGTCTCTCTCTCTCTCTCTCACAAACACACACACTCCTCATTATCAATCCAATCCCTTTACATCACTAAAAAAGCCAGAGGGATCCGATTTAGGTGCCCAATTCTCTTCTTTAAACAGCTATAGCGAAGTATTCTTTCATTAGAATCAAGCAGCTTTTCAGAATCTCCTAAGTTAGAGAATTCGAATTTAAAGTCTCTCAGGTAAAAAAAAAAAAATAAAGTCTCTCAGGTGTACTATGAACTTATTAACTGAACACATAAAATATCACAGCCACGGGTTGCCGGGTTGGCTCCGTCGGTTAAGTATCTGACTCTTGATTTCAGCTCAGGTCATGATCTCAGGGTCATGAGATTGAACCCCACATTGGGCTCTGAGTTCAGTGGAGTCTGCTTGAGATTCATTCCCTGTACCCCTTCCCCCACTCACACATACACTCTCTCACTCTAAAATAAATAAATAAATCTTTAAAAAAAAATCACAGCCACAGACCCACACCATATCCATACAATTGAAACAAAACAACAAGATTGGCCACTGTCTAAGTATCAGTTTCCTGAGACCAAATTTTTTTCAAAACATGCTACAGAAATGAACGAGTTGCTTAGTTAGCAAGGATGGGGACAGTAGGCACAAGCAGAGAGGTGTATCCACAAAACTGAAGCAGCTTCATTTTTTAAAAGTATTTTGGGGACACCTGGGTGGCATCATGATCTCAGGGTTCTGGGATCGAGCCTGGCATCGGGCTCTCTGCTCAGCAGGGAGTCTGCTTCTCCCTCTCCCTCTGTGATTTCTCTCACTCTTGCTCTCTCTCAAATAAATAAATAAAATATTTTTTAAAAAGTATATTTTTATATACTGGGGCTTCTCAGAATATTTCATTTGAAAAATAGGTTCTGCTCTCTCTGCAAAATTTTAAGAACTATTGCCCTTATAAAATAGTGTTTTCCAAGCTGAAGTGGGGTTCTCAGATGCCAATAAATGTCTCATAACCTAGAATCACATTGCTTTTAAAGATGTTGACCTTGACGGGATTGGAGGGGAGTGAGGCTGGTGAGGAACAGGCAGAGAAAATCAGAGAACAAAAAAAGAAAAGTTTTATGGCTTCTATTCACCAACTGCAATCAATCCCTCTATGCCAACTGCCCAGTGACCATCACCTGTCAACTTAAAACTCAAGTGGCTACCTAGCAATGTCACTCCTACATATCTGTTTGAGGGAAGAGAAAGACTTAAGTCCACAAAAAGCCTTGTGTGGGAATGTTCACATCAAATTCATTCATCATAGCCCCAAAAGGGAATCAGCCCAAATGTCCACCTGCAGGACAAACAGTGGTACATCCAGGCAATGGAAATACTCAGCGGTAACAGTGGAGGGACTCCTGATCCATGCAACGTGAATAAATCTCAAAATGATCGTGCTGAATGAAAAAAGCTAGGCCAGACACAAAAGAGTATACACTGGATGATTTCACTCACATGAACTTCTAGAACAGGCAAATCTAATCTGTGGTAGAAAAAAAAGATCAGAACAGTGGTGGCATCAGGGAAAGGATATGAGGTGCCTGGGAGGAGATACAAGGGAAGTTTATAGTCATGAACATGTTCTATATTTTGATTGAGGTATGGATCACATGAGTGTATTTGTCAAAACCGATCAAACCATATGCTTATGAGCTGTACATTTCATTGTATGAAAGTTTTATCTGAATAGAGTTATTTGTGGGGGAAAATACTTAACTGAAGAACTAGATATGGCCCCAAATTGAGAAAGTATAGAAAAATATCTTTATGAGCTCAGAGTAGAAAACAATTTCTTAAACAAGATACACAATACTCTATACAGAAAATATTGATACATATCTTTATCAAAACTTAAAACTCATGTGAAGAGGAGACATAGAGAAAAGGCCAATTCAGAAATGATCAATAAACCTCGTAAGGGAAGCTGACAGATGGTAACTATGCTTGTGCTGAGCACACCTACAGAGTTATTGATTCACTATGCTATACACCTGAAACTAGCCTATCATTCATGCTTCAGTAAAAAAAAGTAAAACACAAAAATAAATGAAAGGATGCCTGACTTCACAAGTAATCATTAGGTGAATGCAAATTTTTTTAAAGAAACAATTTCTTTTTTTTTTTTTTTTTAAAGATTTTATTTATTTATTTGACAGAGAGAGACACAGTGAGAGAGGGAACACGAGCGGGGAGAGTGGGAGAGGGAGAAGCAGGCTTCCCGCTGAGCAGGGAGCCTGATGCGGGGCTCGATCCCAGGACCCTGGGACCACGACCTGAGCCGAAGGCAGATGCTTAACAACTGAATCACCCAGGCACCCCTAAAGAAACAATTTCATGTCTGTCCGATTGGCAACAGTTTCAGAGACTTGAGGCTGTGAGATTGTAAATCATACTGTGCTGTGTAATTGTCGATCAGTTCAGCGAATTCAGCCATTTTAGTAACAAAGCGCATTCTAACACCTAGAAATTGAATTTCTGTTATATACCCTAGAGAAACTCTTACGTGGGTACAAAGGATGTGTACAAGGATGGTTACTGTAGCAGTGTTTGTACTAGTGAAAAGCTGGATTCCACTGCAATGTCCATTAATAGAGATGGATATGGAAAAGGTGGCATCCTCATGTGGGGCAATATTACAAGGCAGTTAAAAAGAATAAACTATATCGGGGCGCCTGGGTGGCTCAGTCATTAAGTGTCTGCCTTTGGCTCAGGTCATGATCCCAAGGTCCTGGGATCGAGCCCCGCATCGGGCTCCCTGCTCAGCGGGAGGCCTGCTTCTCCCTCTCCCACTCCCCCTGCTTGTGTTCCCTCTCTCGTTGTGTCTCTCTCTGTCAAATAAATAAATAAATAAAATCTTTAAAAAAAAAAAAGAATAAACTATGTCTACATGTATCAAGATAGCTAGATCTCAAAAACATGTTAAAATATATACAGTACCGGGACACCTGGATGGCTCAGTTGGTTAAGCAACTGACTCTTGATTTTGGCTCAGGTCATGATCTTGGGGTCCTGGGATTAAGCCCTGGCTTGGGCTCTGCTTGGGGACTCTCTCCCTCTCCCTCTGTCCCTCCCCCCTGCTCATGCTCTCTCTCTCTCTCTCAATCTTTTTAAAAAGTAAAAAAAATAAATACAATATCATATTTAGTTTATAGATATATACCCAAATGTGTAAAAGCTGGATCAGAAGAATCCCCACAAAAACCTTAATGTTGTCTATGCCTGGGAAGCAAAGAAAGGAAAACAAGTGATGTAATGATTGAAAAGGACTTTATCTGAAATTTCTTATTAAAAAAATAATAGGAAGAAGCATCTAAATGCAAATGAATGCATCCTGATTTATTTCTGATATCTTACATAAAAATTAACTCAAAATGAATCATAAACATTTAGGCATTGATTCAAGTTTGTGACCTTGGATTAAGAAAATAGGTCTTAGATGGGACACCTAAAGTACAAGCCATAAAAGAAATAAAATTGATGGACTGGACTTCATAAAAATGCGTAAGTTTTGCTCTGGGAAAGACCCTGCTAAAAGCATGAAAGAACAAGCTATAGACTGGGAGAAAATATTTGCAAATCACTTATCTGAGAAAAAATTTGTATCCAGAATATACTAAGAATTATCAAAATTCAACAATAAGAAAATGAATAACTGAATTTTTTTTTTTAATGAGCAAAGATTTGAACAGAGACTTCACTAAAGGAGATACACGCAGAGCCAGGAAGCCACATGAAAGATGCCCAACATCATTAGTCATTAGGGAAATGCAAATTAAAACCATGATGAGACAACACTACACCTAACAAAATAGTTTAAAAAGAAGAAGAAGAAGAAGAAGGCAACAACTCCAAGTGCTGGCAGGGATGGGGGGCAACTGGAAACCAACAGCCTCCACGCCAACACCCTGTGTATTTTGAGGTGAGCCTGCTTTGTCCCTAGAGGAGAATGACAAGAGTTGCCAATCCCAGATTCCACTCCCGCCACATGGAATGTCACCAACCAGCTATGAAAAGTACTTTTGTAGGTTGAGATTACTGAGTGAGTCTGGTGAAGAAGAAGAAGGGGTAGGAAGAGGGGAAAGGGGAAGAGGAGGAAGAGGAGGACAAGACACTGCATTCCTGCCAATGCTTTGTCTAGCTTCCTAGGTCCTCTCCCTGGGGAAGCCCTGAGCTTCTCTCCAAATGCAACTCCACGGAAAGTCCCCTGAGAACTTTTACCCACATCCGCAATCCCTTCTGTCAACTCATCTAGCTCTGCTGGCCGGTGCCAAGTATTATTTCTATGTCTAGGAGATTTAAAAATTGGCCACCATGCTCATGAATCTTAAAACCCTGAATTCTGTCCTGCTATTGACTGTGATCCCCAGTGATAGGCAAAAAGGAACTCCGAGCAAGGGCCTACTTTATTCCATCTCTTTCCTGGTGCAACTCTATTAGGTAACTTTATTTATTTATTTATTTTTAAGATTGATTGATTGATGTGTCAGAGAGAGAGAGAGCGAACTAGCACAAGCAGAGGGAGGAGCAGGCTCCCCGCTGAGCAAGGAGCCTGATCCGGGACTCGATCCCAGGACCCTGGGACCATGACCTGAGCCAAAGGCAGATGCTTAACCGACTGAGCCACCCAGGCCTCCCCTCCCCTAAACCTAAAGTTTAGGTAACTTTAAAAAATTAACTATATTAGGTAAAATTTGCATACAATAAAATGCATTCATTTAAAATGTACAATTTAACAAATGTATAGTTCCATATATAAGCACCACTATACTTGAGATATAGAGCATTTCCATCATCCCAAAACATGCCATTTGCAACCAATCTCCACCCCAGGAAACCACTGTTCTTCTTTGTTACTAGAGATTAGTCTTGCCTTTTCTAGAATTTCATGTAAGTGGAAATATACATTATTATACTTTTGTGTCTGAGTTCTCTTGCTCAATTTTTAAACAGATTTATTTATTTGAGGAAGAAAGAACTAGAGAGTGCAGGAGGAGGGGCAGAGGGAGAGGGACAGAGAAACTCCAAGCTGACTCCACACTGAGCACAGAGCCTGATGTGGGGCTTGATCTCACGACCCTGAGATCACAACCTGAGCTGAAACCAAGAGTCAGTTGCTTAACTGACTGTACCACCCAGGCACCCCCAAAATTTCTGAAGTTCATTCATTTTATTGTGCATGTTAGTAGTTCACTCCTTTTTATTACTGAATAGTATTCCAGATTATTTTTTAATATAAGGACAACTTTTTCACCTCTGGATAGAGCTAGGCCAGAGATAACAAGCTTAAGTACCTAGAGAAGCCAGACAGATAATATGAGAGAAAGGGCTGGTATAAGAAAATTTATTTTCAAAACACTAAACCCTCTTGTTATAACTTTATTTTCCAAAGAAATAGTTCATTGAGGAAAATATAAGTGTAATTATGATGATAAATGGCAATGGACCCTTGGCTTCGATTTTTGGGGGGTAAAGAGGAAGGGGATAGTAGCAATTTATGGAGCCCATGCCCACCTGAGGAAAGCAACTTTGCTATGTGGGAATGCAGGACCAGGTTTCAAATCTTCTTATTGTCCTAGAGAATCAGGAAGCCTGGGGTTGTATGTGAAATCGCCTGAGTTGTAAATGTTGGACATAAATGTAAATGTTATCAAAACAACAACAAAAAGAGCCGGGGGCCAGACGAGGACTGCGAGGCCCCACACTGTGTTTTCTGAGGTGGACAGACTAAAAGCTGGGCCAAACCACTCACCCCAGGCCTGCTTTCTGTAGAATCATCCTGGTCCTGTTAGGACCTCCCTGTCTAGAAGAACTCCCAAGGTTGGCTCACTTCATTGGCTACATAGAAGAAGAGAGACAAAAGAGAAGCAAAAATTATTCTAAGGTCCTAAAAAAAAACAGAGGAAGCAAATATTTGCTACAGGCTGGTTGGTTTTCTTTCTCTCCCACACTGCAGCAGTGTGGGAAGACATACACTGGAATCAACTGGAGTCGGAAAATGCAGATTCTCAGGTCTCTTCTCAGTGTACTTAATCAGAATCTCTGGTGGCTGGGCCTGCTGTAGATTTCCACCTTAACAAGCTCCTTGGGCAATTCTTACCCTCACTTAAGTCTGACATCCACTGCATTGCACTTTTCCACCTTTACCATGGAGGATTCGGTTGCCATTGGGTCCATTTTGTCCCGCATCTAAGTTTGGGACCTCTTGGGGGAAGAGCAGTACCAGCAAAGAAGGAAGGCTTTGAGCGCCCCCTACGGGTTATCTTGTACAGTGAACAGCTTTATAATGAGAAGTGATTTTTCAGAGATGTTAGGAATAGAAAAAATAGGTAGTATTTTTGAGCCTTTATTGGCATACAGCATTGTGATTGGCCATTCACATAAATTATCTGATTTATGCCTATGAGGCAGGCACTATTATTACTTGCATTTTGCAGAGGATGGAAATTCACCTGTAAATCCAGTGGCATGGCTGATCACTCCCTCTTCCATGTATTTTTTTCGCTTGGCTTCCAGAACACCATATTCTTTTTCATTTGCCTCCTGGCTCACTGGTTATTTCTTCTTAGTCTTTGTGTTAGTCCCCCCTCTTCTCCAAGACCTACTAATTTTGGAGTACCCCTGGGATCAGTCCTTGGTTTTTTTCTTTCCCTGTACCAACTTTTTTCAAAATTGAAGTATAATTAACATACAATGTTACATTAGTTTCAGGTATACAATGATTCCACAATTCTAAACATTCCTCAGTGCTCATCACATGATAAGTGTACTCTTAATCCCCTTTATCTATTTCACCCATCCCCCTACCCACCTGCCCTCTGGCAACCACCAGTTTGTACCCTGTACTTAAGAGTCTGGTTTTTTGTTTGTCTGTCTCTTTTTTATTTTGTTCATTTGTCTGTTTCTTACATTATACATACAAGTGAGATCATATGGTTTTTATCTTTCTCTGACTGACTTATTTCACTTAGCATTATACCCTCTAGGTCCAACCATGTTATTGTACTTGGCAAGATTTTCTTTTTTATGGCTGAGTAATATTCCGGTGTGTATGTATATACCACATCTTTATCCATTCATCTCTCAATGGATAGATGATAGACTTGGGGTGCTTCCGTATCTTGGCTATTGTAAATAATGCTGCAATAAATATAGCGGTGCATATATCTCTTTGAATTAGTGTTTTTGTTTTCTTTGGGTAAATACCCAGTAGTGGAATTATTGGAGCATATGGTAAGTTTATTTTTAAATTTTTGAGCCACCATACTGTTTTCCACAGTGGCTGCACCAGTTTGCATTCCCACTGACAGTGCATGAGAGTTCCTTTTTCTCCACATCCTCGCCAACACTTGTTATTTCTTGTGTTTTTTATTTTAGTCATCCTGACAGGTGTGAGGTGATATCTCATTGTGGTTTTGATTTGCATTTCCCTGATGATTAATGATGTTGAGTATCTTTTCATGTGTCTATTGGCCATCTGTATGTCTTCTTTGGGAATAAGTTTATTCAGGTCCTCCGTCCCTTTCTTAATCAGATTATTTGGATTTTGGTGTTGAGTTGTATAAGCACCAACTTTCTTAATGAACTCCTTTATCGATATGACAATGATTCCTGCAGTTACATCTTGTGACCAACCTCTCTTTTCAACTTTAGGCTCATACATGCAGTTGCCTACTTGACATCTCCATTTGGATGCCTCACAGACATCTCAAATTTAACACGTCTGAAAATGAAGTTCTTGGCTTCTACCACAAACCTCTCTATCAGAGGTTTTTCCCATTTCAGTTGATGACAACTCCAACCTTCCAGTTATTCATACAAAATCTGGGGATCGCTGTTGACCATGTCCCTCCATCCCTACAGCCAACACTCTAGTTTCATCTCACAGCCTATTTGGTCTTCTTGTCCCCAAACTTGCCAAACTTGCCTTTTAAGAGACTTTCCAACAAAGAAACCAGAATGATCTTCCTGATATGTAATTCAGACCATATCACTCTTCTTCCTAAAATCCTCCCAGGGCTTCTCATTTCACTCAAAGAAAATGCCAAAGTCCTTAGAATGGCCAATGGGGCCCTCTACAAGTGGGGCCCCATCTCCTCTCTGATCTCATCTCCTGTTACTCTGCTCCAGACACACTGGTCCCCATCCTATTCCTTATACATTCCTGGCCTGACTCTGCCCTGGTTCTTTTATCTGCCTGAAGCATTCTTCCCTCAGAAATCCACTTGGCTAACTACTTTACCTCCTGCAAATCTTCACTCAAATGTCACCCTCTCCATGAGACCTACCCTGACTCCTCTATTGAAAACTGCAAACTGTTTTTCTCCCTGCATGCCCAAACCTCTTCTCATGCTGTTTTTCCCACAGCATTATGGCTTTGCAACATATTCTATAACTTAACTATTTATTATGCTTTTAGTTATTGTTTTCTCCCCCCACAAGAATGTAAGTTCCAAGAAAGCATGGCTTTTTGTCTGTTGTGTTTATATATATATCTCAGACACATAGGTCAGTGCCTGAAATTTAATAGAAATATCTGTTAAATAAACAAGACATGAAAAGGTTACATACCTAGTCCTAAGTATTTCAATATTCCATTTGGTAAGTAAGCCTGAATAATAAACAATTTTTTCTCCTTATAGAGAAGCAGACTATATACCTCCACGAAGTCTGTTTGGGCATCTTCTATGGGGAGGAGTGCTGAGTACCAGCACCCATGGTCCCCCTTAAAGAGGTAACATGCAGCAATGTGCTGTGCGAATCATTCATCCCTTCACCACTTGTAACAACCACAGTGCTGGGCATTGTCTTCTTTGCCCAATTTATTTGGGGAGTGTAATGCTGAGTTACAAGTAGTATTTTTTCTTATAATGAGAAGCAATACACAGTCTGTGGGGTACACTTTTTTAACACTATACAGGTTTAAAGATGAGTTGCAACTCACAAAAGAGACAATGTAAAAAGTCTGTGAAATGAATTATCACTAACTTCTTTACTGAGTAAGGCTTGCTTGCCATCAGCTGTACCTTGGTAAGGTATGCAACAAATGGCTCTTCTCAGTGCATCCTGAATTACCAGAATTTCTCTGTAATTCTCACAAGAGAAGCAAGCAACAGCTTCCTGTAGTAAGTACTTCAGGGAGCTGAGGTAGCTGGAATTGTGTTGAAAAACCAAAGGTTTCCTCCAAGACTCAACATCAGAAAATAAAGGGGGGGGGCAAGAAAAAAACCTCTGTACTTTCTGGAACATTTATTCAATTTACTCACATAAATTCCCAGCAGTCTGATCACACATATAACTCCAACCCTCAAAATTGGACAATTTGCTTCAAAGACAAAAGTAAGCTAGACAGAATGCTCTAAGATGAAAGAAAAGATTCAAACTATGTTAATGATTAAATTGTGTCAATGGTGTGTTTTTTTGGTTGCAACAGTAAAATCAGCTCAAAAGTGAGTGTGTGTGTGTGTGTGTGTATGTGTATGAAATTTCAATCAAGGAAACTATCTTTTCCTGTGGGGATAATTTATCCATAAGGAACCACTTCACAATTTGGCATATTCATGGTAGGCAGTATCTCCTCCTTCACAGAGGATGCCTGGCAGTAACTATTATGACAAGGTGGCTTCATAGCAAATGCACCTGAATGCATTAAAATACTTGCTTCCCTTGACACCCAGGCCCCCACACTCTCCTGGTTTTCCTTTCACCTCCCTGACCTCAGTCTCATTTCTGGTCCCTCTCCTCACCCTGACTTCTGACCCCAGGACTGACTGCCACAGCATCAGGCATTGAACCTCTTCTCTACCTTAATTCCAGTGATGATCTCAGCCAGGCTTCACGAAGCCATCTACATGCTGCTGCTCCTGCTCTTCTACCTCCAGCCCAAAATTCTCTCCTGAATTCTAGACTCTTCTAAAAGAAAAGACTTGACTGACATCTCTACTTAGATCCTTAACAGGCATAACAAATCTAACGGTCCCCCAAACTAAGCCTGACACCCTACCTAAGTCTTTGCCGTCTCAGTAAATGGTAATTTCATTCATCTAGTTGCTTAAACTAAACTCTGGACTCATTTCTTTCTTTCATAATGCTCCACACTCAATGCTTCAGCAAATTCCACTGGATCTATATCCAAATTCTACCCAGAATCTAATCTCTTCTTACCACTCTTCTGCTACCACCTAGTTGAACTGAAGGCATCATCATCTTTTTTCTGGATTACTGCAAATAGCCCCCTAGCTGGCTCTCCTGCCTCAACTATTCCCTCTCCTACAAACTATTCTGTTCACCAGTGGTCCCCACAGTGTGTCGCAGACCAGCAGCATTGGCATCACCTAGGAACTTGCTAGAAATGCAAATTCTCCTGCATCACACCAGACTTACTCAATCAGAAACTCGGGATGGATGTGGCAACTGTGTTGTAACAAGCCCTCGGAGGTGACTGATGCATATTCAAGTTTGAGAACCATTGCTCTACGGAAGTGGTTAGCCAGAATGATCCTTTAAAAACGTAAATCAGATCATGGTCACCTCTCCCCTCACAATTCTCCAGTGGATTTCCAACTCATTTGAGTAGGAACCTGAGTCCTCATGAAGGCCTGAAGTGATCATTGTGATCCCTTTCCCATTCCCACCATATGTGTAACCACCTCTCTATTCTCCTTCTGTTCACTGTGCCAAGCCGGTCTGGCCTCTTTGCTTTGCCTTTGTACCTGCTGTTTCCTCTGCCTGGAACACCCTCTCTACTCCCTTCTCTCCATTATCCTTTCCATAACCATGTGGCCCTCTCCCACCTCTCCTTCCAGTCTCTGCTCAAATGTCAGCTCATCAGAAGGACTTTTTCCAGCCACCATGTTTAAACTTAAAAACCCCACTTTCCACTCCCACTCCTGTGCTCCTTTCCCCTCCCTTGTTCCACATTATTTTTCTCCATAGCGCCCATCACCTTCTGGCATAGGGTATGTTATACTTGTTTATTTGTTAAATAGTCATTGCACCCAATGAATATATGCTGTATGAGGCAGAGATCTGTGTATGTTGTGTTCATTGCTGTATCATCAGAGCCTGGAAAAAGGCTGGCATATGGTAGAAGCTCCATAAATATTTGTTAACTAAGTGAATATCTAAGTGATGGCCAAAACATCCCTCTAGAGAGATGATACATTTATTCCAATGATACTATCATTGCTCAAAATATTTTTAGGTAAATAGGAAGTAGGGAAACCATTTAGGAGGACACTACTTACAATAATCCTGGAGAAAGATGACAATGGCTTCAATTTGAACAGGCAGTAGCATAGGAGGTGGTCAGAAGTGACTGGCTTCTGGATATAATTTGGATATAGATCTGATGGGTCGAGGTCAATTTACAGGTCACATATGGAAACCAGTCTCAGTATTTAACAGAGATCACTCCTTCAAAAAAAGTTAAAAAATACAGTTGCTCTGCTTAATTGCACACATTATTTACTAGTCCCAGAATCATATGACATTTGGCTTTATTGCAGAAATCACATTTCCCCTTGAATAGTGAAACGCAGAACCACTGAAAACATTCACCAGCTATGAATACAGTTTTCTATATGATGAAAGAATACTTTGGATTTTCACTGGGCATAATTCTACATTTGTATGATTTAATCATCACAGCAATCCTTTGAGATCCTTGTTATTAACCCCATTTTTCAGATGAGGGAAATAAGGCTCAGAGCAGAGGATTTCCATCCAGGCCAGGTCATACATTTTCGTGATGAGTAAGAGTAATGTGTTGGGAACAAATGTGCATGGTGCCTAGAAGAGAACATTTCAGTATGCCTTATTTACCTCTCTTGGCTTCAGACTCACATCTCATATGGATAACTTCTCCAGAGGATCAGAGCCCTACAGCAAATACAAGACATAGCCAGGACATAGGGGCCAGTTCTGTTTTTCCGACTGTTCAGGCTGGGAACGAGTCTCGTTTCAATGGCCAAAGCCCTGGGTCAGGTGCTGTGGTTCCTCCAGACACTGTTTCCAGTGTCCCTAGGAGAAACCGTTGCCATCACCATGGGGATTTGATGCCTTCCAGAGCTATGTAGACAGCCTTGTCTCGGGACAAGGAACTATTGTTTGGGTAGAAATAGAGGGTGTTTCTCACTGGGGATTTGGGCTTGAATATGGATTCACATTTCAACAGTGCTTCCTTTTGTAAAAATGGATGGTTTTTTTTTTTTAGGTTTATGTTATTTTTTTCAGACTCAGATCACAGTATCTAATGACTGTTTCTCCTACAATGTTTCTTAAGAATGTTAGGTATGCGTTCCTGGATGTTATGGACTCAGGGAATAAAAATTACATTGCATATTAACCTGAATGCTCCTTGCTATCTCGAGCAGACTCTGGGACTCCCTGTCATGGCAGAAAGGCAGGGGGCAGGAAGGGATGGGTTCATGGATGGGAACTGGCATTCACCGAGAGCAGCATCTAATGAGCAGACACACTTCAGATCCATGATTCCAATTAATCCTCACTATCACCTGAGCAGATATTACTCAAGTTTTCCAAAAGAGAAATGTAATTAGGTAACTGGAGCAAAATTACACAGCTGGTGAGATTAGAATCTGGGAGCGGTTCCCAGATCTCACTCCAAAACTGTTCCCTTTCCATTTCCTGTTCCAGGCTTCCTTGCTGACCTTTTTAAGCTTCAGTTTTCTCAGATGAGACACCTGGCGGGAAGAGTGTGTGAGATGGTGCTCACGAACGCCTCCATCATAGGACACGTCACATGATAGGTACTAAAAAAAAAAACCCCACTAAATTTCTCCTGTCTTCCTTGTTCATCATCTCATCTTCCCTTCCTAATTTTTCTTTTTCTTCTCTCTCCTGTTCTTTCAGTGCCTGCTTTCTTTTCATTTTCATATCCTTTTCTCTGCAGAAAACCAAAATCTAAAGAGCCCATTCCCAGTGGCAACATAAGCTTTAAAAACAATCCCCTAGGAATAAACTAACAAGAACAATGCAAGGTCCACGTGAAGAAAACTATAAAATTTTATGGAAGATACAAAAGAAGACCTGATGGATGGAAAGCTATACATGTTTCTGAATGAAAGAGTCGATATTATAAAGATGTCACCTTTCCAAATTAATCCATAAATTCAATGCAATCCTAATAAAAATCACAACAGGAGATTTACTGAACTTGATAAGCTGATTTTAGAGTTCATGTGGAAGAGAAAATGCACAAGAACAAGCAATTAAACTTGGGGGAAAAAAAAAGAACAAAGAGGAAGGACCTGACTTTTCATGTTTATGTTAAATAATGTTGTCTTGGTTCACAATAAAGACATGAACAAACTGAACTGAAAAAGGAAATTCAAAAATAAAGGATCATGTATTTCAAATCCGAACAAAAAGGACTATTCAAAAATGATATTGAGAGGATTGGAAAACCAGAAAAAGATTTAATTTAGATGCCATTATCACATCATACACACAAAATCCAAATGGTTAAATTCTAAACACTAATTAAAAAAAAAAAAACCCAAATCAGGAAGGAACTACAGTAAATTTTAGCACATCAGTTTTTATAATGTGAGGGGAGATGGTAATGAAGGCCTTCCTAAGAAAGACATAAATTCCAGGAGCCATTAATAAAAAGGTCTTACTAATCTGTATGACAAAAGACCCCAAAATAAAAGGTCCCACTGAAAGTCTTTGCAAAATATATAAAACAAAATATAATATACAAAATCTATTAAAATCTACTAAAATTATTGAAAGGATAAAATGTAAAACCGGTTAAAAGAAATAGACAGTTCACACACACAAAAAGAATGATAAAATTTAAAGAGTTGCTTAGTCTCAAAAGTAATAAAGGAAATGCAAAATAAGCAATGAGGCATACTTTATAACCAATCAGGTTGTGAAGAATAGATTGACACAAGTATTATCAGGTGGAAATGGGTGATTTCCATACAGTTTGTAATAGCGTACATTAATATAAACTTTTTTGATGGCAACTTAGAAATATCTATTAAAATTTAAAATAAGCATATCCTTGGAATTCTGAATTCCATTTCTAAGAATCTATTCTTTTGAAACATTCGTGTTCAAAAATAAACACAGTCATTGCAGCTTTATTTATAATAAAGAACAACTGGAAAAGCGCAGAAATTTGCCTCAATTAGGGAATAGTTAAATGAATTTTGTGCATTTATACTGTAGAATACTATATGATGATTGAAAAAAAAAATGAGGTAGATTTATTATATTTACTACGTGAAAGTTCCAAGACATATGGTCAAGTGAAAAAAGCAAGATACCAAGTGCTGTGGGCGAAGAGGACTTATTTTTTTCACTCTCACGTTTCATATTACTTATATTATTTGTAGTTACTATCACATTTTGCTTATGTAAATATGAATAAAAGGAATCTTACTTAATATGATCCAAGGAACCACAGCAGTACAATTACTGCTGTCACATTTCCAGTAAGTTTCACTGGGGCCCACAGGCTGCAAGAGGTCCTGGGCTATGCCCTCCCAGGTCAGGGGTAGATTGGCGATACCAAGGGAAGGAGGCTGGGGGTCCAAGCAAACAAGGCTGAAATAATGTTGAACTAGCACAAGAGGGGAAAGCTCCTTCTCGACTCCCAGTTTACTGTTCTAGCTATCATCAGTAAGAATTACTTTCTCACTTTCCTCTTCTGCTTTGGACTTCAGTAGAACTCCTTTTGGCAGTGGGAACAAGGTGGTATCCATCTTCTATTTCTTGGTAAAATCCCTCCTGTCACAGGGGAAAAACAGCACTAGGTCTCTCTCCTCTTTCCCCTCTACAAACCCTTCTTGTTTAGCTGAAACATTTAGGGGGAAAATAAGTTCTTAAAAACATTTTTTTGGTAATATACATGCATATACAAAGACCATATATTAGACTTTGCATCAAGTATAATTTTTTCCTGAAAAAATTCCTTTAGCAAATTAAAAAGTATCATCATTCAAAACAAAGCCATTATTCTATAGTTACTGCATATGTATTTCTTCTAACTATTTTTACCATATTCTCAGAATATTTCTTTTCCAATTAGGTTTTTCACCTTCTAATTATTTTGCACTGTTTTCATATTTTTTCAGATGAGCATATTGGTTAGCTTAAGGTCCACATGATAGCAAGCTAGAACCAAAACTCTAAGTGATCAGAAAAATAAGAAAGCAGGAGGAATAATTCTGCACTTATCACTTGAAAAACAACCAAAGTATTTGAGCATTTAGAGCAGAATGAACTCTGGTATGAAAATCAAGAGCATTCAACTCTACGGTTCTGCACCAGTCATTCCATGACACGTTGGACAAGTGTGTGGCCTCTTAGATATTTCATAGATAGATGAGTTTCCTTATCTGTAAATTAATAAGTTTCATGAGCTCTTATTGTGTGCCGAGAAGTAGGCCTTATGCTTTATGTATATTATCTTGTTTGATTCTTATAACAGCCATTTGAGATAGAGATTATTTCCTCCATTCTTTAGATGAAGGATCTGAGTCTCAGAGAGAGTAAATAACTTTCCTGAGGGCATACAGCTAAAAGCGGGGAGTCTAGATTTGAATCCAGGTCTAATTCTGAAGTTTATATTCTTTTTTTTTTTTTTAAAGATTTTATTTATTTGACAGAGAGAGACACAGTGAGAGAGAGAACACAAGCAGAGGGAGTGGGAGAGGGAGAAGCAGGCTTCCCACCCAGCAGGGAGCCCAATGTGGGACTCCATCCCGCGACCCTGGGACCATGACCTGAGCCGAAGGCAGATGCTTAATGACTGAACCACCCAGGCACCCTGAAGTTTGTATTCTTAAGCTAAGAGCTAACAATAACCTTCGGTATATGTTATTTTAAAGCTACCTTTGCATTATACCATTACTTCCGCTGGGTTGGGGGAGAAGGAGGAGAAGGGGTTTGCAATAAGAGGACTTTAAGATTCCCTTGCTGTTTCAGACAGTGAATATAACTTAAAGCTTCTTCCATATCTAGAATGTTCAGATGTGGATGGGGCAATGAATTTCCATACCAGGCTGGAAATTTATAGCCGTGAGGGCATCCTGAAAATTTCCACTAAGATGACAAATGACTTAAGCGGCTGAAGACAGACAAATCTCCCAGCTGAACCTTAGAAAAGACACTTCCAGGTCAGATTTGCAGGCTAGCCTGGATGCCTATGATTTACTTATTGTGTGATGAAGTGGTGGGTTTATGTTTCCAGCGTTAATGATTCAAAAGCTTTCTGTGGTATTAAACTGAGACACATAAAGAAACAAAAGGCAATTAGAAGCAATCAAAGCATTCAGAAATTAAGTTCAATTCTGCATTTGCTAAACTCTTCATCAAGGAAATCAGTAAATTCTTTTTAAAGCCGTCAATATGATACACAGAGAATTAGAAAAGCAATC